TAAACGAGAACCAAAACATTCAGCGAAGTGGGCGTTAAAATCAACAAGCATAACGATCTCTGCATATTGGACCTTTTGTAGCACGGAGTCTGCAGCGCAACAGACACCAATCGCAAGTACTATTAACATAATTTGTTATAGTTCAAGAAAATAGTCGTAGTGATAATTCTTTTTTACGTAATATTTTATTAATTTAACCTTTTATTAAACTCATTATGAGAAAAAGAAAATTATAAGATTCTCAGAATTTCCAGAACATCTGTTCATCAATCATCAACAGTTTTTTGTACTATAAAAACAATACATAAACGCGTAACAGTTTTCACTCAGAAGTTGTAAGAATTAGAAGCAATCTTACAACTTCTAATTAACTTCGCATTAATTAACTGTAACAGAATAACTACTAAGAGGATTATTGTGTTATGTATTAGGCTAAAGCGTTCAATAACCTTTTATTGTAATAAACTTGGAATAACATAAAAAATTTTCTAACCATTAAATTCCTTATAGAACTCGTCAATTAGAGTAAATAAAATTTCCTGTTGGTACTGCTTGTTGAGCCGTAGTATCTCAGATGGTTAACGCTCGTTGTAAATATAACAGAACGCGAGTAACCCGGGTTCGATCGCCCGCCGGCACCAATGAAATTGTTAATTGCAATTTTAAGTGCTGATTTACCACGTGCTCGGCGGGGAAGGAAAACATCGTAAGGAAACCTGCATGTCTGAGGAATAACAGAAAAAATAATATTTCGAAGACATGTGAAGTTCGCCAACACGCATTGGGGCAGCGCGGCCGACACTTCCTTGCCCTAAAACCCTCTCAGAAATGAGGGGAGGCCTGTGCCCAGCAGTGAGTCGTATATAGGCTGTAACATTACTTTACCTTTTTTTTACTGCTTGTTGGTCTCAAATATATTCCTTCAATTTCGAAATATATAGAAGTCACTAGCTGCAAGGTCTGATGATTATATAGAGGATATTCAAGTTGTATTTCAAAGACAAAATCTCGAATTAAAGCCATTGCAACGGCGTATTTGTGAGCCGGGGCTTAACTCAGTAAAAACAAAACAATATTTGCCAGCTTACTTTCTTTTTACACGTGAATTTTGTATCAATTTTTTTTAATTCTGCTAGCAAAGTAGCCCCATGATCGAGAAATTCAATCAGTACTACCCTTTGATATCTCAGAAAAGATAACACGTAATCTTATATACTGAGTTGGAGATAATGGCCTTCTCCAAGTAATTTTATTTCGGGATCGTAACGGTGAAGTCCCGTTTCGTTCATTGTTATAAATTGTTATAAACGATCAAAATCTTGGGACAGCAGTTTTAAAGATCCTTGGGGAAAGTATCAGTAAGTATTCTCGGATATTTTTTCTTCTACAGTATTAACATATAAATAAAACTAAAGTTTGACATTAAGACAAGAATAACCATTAAAAAATTTTTATCAGTCTGTTTGTTAAGCAAATTTTCGGAATAGATGTTTTATTCGAAGAACATGAAGAATTTTTCGTTAAATCGAAATTCAAAAAAAATATATATATCAAAATATATATATATATATATACTTAGGTAAATGGTTTTTGATAATTAAATATCTCATAAACCATATACAAATATTTAAAAAAAACTGCGGACAAAACCTTTTTTGGTTTGCAATTCCAAAAAAGGTTTAGCTCTCGTTTAACCGATCATGCTGGTAGATCTGTTTATTTCTTTTTGACTTTGGTTTGACATATCTGACACAATTTGTTACCTCGCCTACACGGATCCTACATGTGGAAGATCATGTACCTTTCCTATTGGACCTGTTGCATCAGGTCTGTGTCGATGCCCCTCTTGACTCCTCGAACCAGGAGTACGGTGCCATTCACGCACCCATCGCGGTTGCGTTCTACAGGTTGTCATTGTTGTAAGTCATTGGCGTTTATTCTATCATCTGTGGTATCTATCGGAGGCAGAACCCAACCTTGGTTCGGTCGATACTGCAAAATTGCATTACGCTATATAGAGCTCTTAAAAAGAAGTATGATTCCGCCTCCAGGTCCTTCAAAAGTGCTATTGCAAAGGCAAAGACCCCGGCAGAATTGTCGAGAAACTAGTTCGACTTCCTTCGGGAACACGTGCACTCTGGTCTTTTGCCAAGGCTGTCCAAAGGAACTTCTATCAGCTATCTCTCCCATCTCTGCACACAGAGAACGACTCACTGGCCCATGCCGCAAATGACAAAGCCGATCTGTTGGGCTCTCTCTTTGCGTCCAATTCGACTTTTGATGACGGGCAACACACCACCGACGACGTAAGTGAGGGACTCCGTGAGTACTCCATGCAGGATTTACCCATCGCTCGGTGCGCAGAGCACTTCTCTCCCTAGACGTCAACAAGCCGAGTGGGCCTGATGACGTCTCTCCTATTGTGCTGAATACGTGTGCTCCGGAGTTGGCACCGGTTTTAACGTGTCTTTTCCAGTAATCCTACTCTCTGGGCGTAGTCCCGAAGCCATGGAAGACAGCTTTCATGCACCCAATTCTTAAAAAAGGTTACCGCTCTGATCTGTCCAACTATAGGCCTAACGCCATCACCTCCTTGTTCTCTACAATAATGGAGTCCATTATTAACAGCCGATTCATGCGGTGCCTTGAGGATCACCAGCTGATTAGTAACTGCCAGTACGGTTTCCGTCGGGGTCGCTCAGCTCATAAGTCGCTCATAAATGGACGGAAGCAGTAGAGTCCAAGGGGGAGGCGTTGACCGTTAGATTAGACATAGCGAAGGCATTCGATCGGGTTTGGCACAAAGCTCTTCTTACGAAGCTTCCTTCCTATGGGCTTCCCGAGAAATTGTGCAATTTGATCATCAGTTTTCTTGTAGATTGGAGCAACAAGGTCGTAGTAGACGGTGCAAGCTACGATTACAAGCCCATTCACGCTGGTTTTCCACAAGGATGCGTGCTATCACCAACGCTGTTTCTTCTGCATATCAATGATATGTTGCAAGCCGGTAACATTAATTTTTATGCGAACGACAACACTGGTGATGTTTTGGCCGTGCCAATATTTCTCGGAAAAACGTCACTGAGTTCCAGGATTTTTTTTTATCTGAAGTCGAGACTTTATCGAACAAAGTCTCGGACTGGGGGCGACTAAATCTAGTCCAGTTGAGTCCCCAGAAGACACAAGTTTGCGTGTTTACCGCTAAAAAGAACCCCTTCGTCGTATCTCCTCAGTTTCAAGGCACTCCCCTTGTTGCCTCAGCCAGTATCGGAATTCCCGGTATATCGAGTGACTTGCAGTTTCGTGGTCACTTGGAAGAGAAGGCCGGCAACGCATCTGCAATTCCCCTGGTGTTGCAGTAGTTCATGGGCTGCGGTAATCACTTACCATCAGGTGAGCCGTATGTTCGTTTGCCCTCTCTTATAAAAAAATAACCTAGTGACAAATTTTTTATTTGTATTCCTTCATTGCCCATGGCTCAAATGAAGGAAAAAAACTGTAATCTGAGGTTGTGTACGTGGGATACGTTCTCTTATAAAGTGACATTTATTGTGTTAGAAGCATGAAGTGTAGAAGTAAGGAGTACCAACTCCCGTAGTAGAATAGTTGAAAAAGTGGCCATCTGTAAGCAGTAAATAACGGTTCAAAAACTGTCAAAAACTCTCCACAACAGCGCTGGAGTAGCTACTGGGATAAAATGAACTTAGCAGTTGTCGACGTTTTGAACGGTTGACGGTGTGTGCTGCTAAACTGCTCAGTGACTAAAATCTAAAATAATTATATTTAGTAATTATAACCTCGAAAAAGTCATCTATCACACTAATATTTTTCGGTGCCTTCTTTAAAATTTACCCCGTAGCTATAGTGGCGCCACCCTTATTTAACGGTTTTCACTGGACACTTTTTAATACACAGTCTGTACTCCTTACTTCTACACTCCATAGTTAGAGGAGTGGCTTAGCATTGAGTTGCGGTCACAGATTCAAATTTCGCACGGAGCAAGTACTTGTATGTCATACAAATAATTGTTCCTGGTCTGAATATTTGTCCTTGTGCAATTTATGTGTGTAAACTGCTTCCACGATAAAGGAGAATACTAGTGTAAAGATATTATAAAAAAAATGTTTTACTGCGTGTATTGTTGCTGTCGTAGGCCGACTTAAAACGTTATTTAAAGAACCAGTATGTACCTAATTATTCAGCCTCTTTCAATGTTACTGATACATCATAGGATGTTTATTTACCAACACATATTTCATAACTTTTTTCACAAGGCGCGGTGGTGTTTAGAAAAATGGCTTACGTTGATTTGTTGCCAAAAGCGACACAGGCTAGTTCAATGTAAAACGATTATTCGTTTCCACTTCATTTCTAAAATAACCCATCATAATCTCTTCACCAACTCTACAGAAGATGTCTTGACAGACAATCTGGATATTTCTAAACTGCAAATTTTACACACCGCTGAAATCTTTTTTGGTAATTTCTTGTGATAACTGCCTAGTGTTGGAATTCTATTATATTTTATATAAGCTGCACTAAACGACTTTTTACTTTGAAATGAATTTTTGATAATTTTCATTAGATACAATTAATATTTATTAATTAATTACTATAATCTGTCTGTGCTGCCACAGCCCTCCCAAAAATGAGAGAAGACGTTTATCCAGCCGTGGGACGTAAATATTGCAACTATATTTTGCTTTAATTAAAATATAAGCTGTTTAATTTTACGCTGTTATGAATAATATCTGTAGTGTTTTTACTTAAAAGACGTTATCAATACCTTGTTTTATTGAATAGTACACTTTATTGATCAGACAAAAGATTGATAAGAAGCATGACTAGATTAATATCGGCGACAAATTGATAAAAAATCAGTGACGGATTTGCTTTAACGTAGTCTATCCGTTGTTATAAACAGCCATTATTTAAAATAAAACTACTTTAATCTATAAATCATGTGTATGTCTGATAGTGTAGATTGTTTTTCTTTGCAGCAAGAAGATGAAAAAAAGAGTAAGAAGAAACAGTCGCCGGTGGATGATCGGCCAATGGTGCCAGTTCCCAGTGATGCGATGCTTAACAGTGAGTAACTACTTATTTATTTTGAGCTTGGAACTTGATTGATATATTTAAGATGGGTTCACGAATGCTATAACATAAAATTAATCAAGACTTTTATCATCATATTGCATAGCATTTACTTTTGTAATGGTGTCCTGCACGCACGTATTATTTGTAAGAATTTTAATTTAAAAACTGCAATGGCCTATAAAATGACATCCGCTTCCTGTTACATATTAGTTCCATTGAAGACATTATTTCTATAGGTTTATTTCTTATTTGAAAATAACAATCACAATTTGTTTATTACACAATTAATTAGAAAGTGAGATAAAATAATGTCTTTATTAGAAATCTCGTAGGTAAACTCTTTATTATGATAAACCAGCCACGATAATGACGAAGAAAGTTTGAAATTCTATAATATTTGCAATAGTAATGAAAACTCTATTGAAATTGTCACGGCCAACTATTATAGTGTCAGCTTTCGTAAATTGACTGTTAACATCATAGCGGAGCGATAAGTCTATTTGTGTGCATCAAATGTGGGAGTAATTATTATTTTTACATTGTTACATATTATTCTTTATAACAAGTCAAAAGCTAATTTTTATATAGCAAAGTTACACTCACCACATTTTAATTACATTGTTGTGTCACTACTTGAATGCTAGCCAAAAATAATACTTACATCATAATATAATTCTTAAGTCTATACTATCATTTGCTTCATAATATACAAGTACTTAATATTTAATCGTATATTTATATAGTAATAATATAATGAAAGTTTAGAAATAAACTCAGCTCCACGTGTCGCAGGCTCTTTACTTCCTGCCTATTAAGTCTAAAAACCCTGTTTGATCTATTGGCACATGAAGTAAGGAGTATAATACAGTTAATTCATATCGATCTCTCCATGCATTACAGAAAAAGTCCTGTGCTAGACATATGTCTCTGTCATAGATTACCTCATAGAGAGGATGCCATATTTTGCGGGTTCGCAACCGCAGTTTTTTATTATTCTTAGTTGTTATCGGAAAGACGCTGCTGTCAAAATTCCGTTTCGTTTCTCTCTGTCGCCCCCTACAATATTAAATTTACGCATAATATGATATATGGATATTTAGTTACTGGTATCTTAGTAGCATACTACAATGATAAGTTGGTGCTACTTTCTGTTAACAACTTGTCGAATTATTGCCGAAGATTTGCATTGATGCTTACCTACTGCTACTTGCACTATTAGAGCCGTGGTAGCTCATATGGTTAACGCTCGCTGTAAATATAACAGAACGTGAGTAACCCGGGTACGATCCCCGCCTGCACCAATGAAATTGTTAATTGCAATTTTAAGTGCTGATTTACCACGTGCTCGGCGGTGAAGGAAAACCTGCATGTCTGAAGAAACCTGCATGTCTGAAGAATAAGAAAAAAATATACTTCGAAGATATGTGAAGTTCGCCAACACGCATTGGGGCAGCGCGGCGGACACTTCCTTGCCTTAAAACCCTCTCAGAAAGAGGGGAGGCCTGTGCCCAGCTGTGGGACGTATATAGGCTGTAACTTAACTTGCACTATTGCGTCTTGCTATGGTTCTACGGGTGATCTCTCCTGATTCGATGCATATTGTGGTTTTGGCTTTGAGTATTTATAAGCAAGCTTTGGAGCGCGCGTATCGTTCATTGCCTATTATGATTATATCCAAGCGTAAGTAGATGTCCTATTAGATGCAATGCATAGATGAAGCAGTTGAATAGTGATGTGCCATGTTGTTATTTAATTTAATTTTAATTATTAATTTATAACTTTAATTCATATTTTTAATTAGTTATAATAATAGGTAAGTATTTTGTAAATATTACGTAGGTAGGTAAATATATGATAGGTTTTCGCAGGTCAATATAAACAGGAATGAATTTATAAAATAATGTTTTTAAATAAACATAAAAATATAATTTACTGTCCCAGTGTCACAGTTTTGCGCACATCCACACGCGTATTCCAATCTCGATACATTTTTGAATGACAGTATGCAACAAATATACCAAATGGTTGCTGTATGACGATTGATGGAATAGATGTTTATGAACACGTAAAAATATCTATATATTGCCATTTTCTTTGGATGATATGTTTTTTTAAAAGTGAACAGGCATGCTTGATGGCAGATGAAAAGAAATATCATTGTTCTTCTTAGTTTGCTTAGTTAACCGTTTTTACAGCTTGCCACTGCATGTTTCACCATGGCAACGAAAAAAATTCGAATAAATACCGTCGAACAGAAAGCAACACGGGCCGCCGGCGAACCGGAGGAAAGTAGCCATAGCGTTTTTCAACAACATCAACGACAACTCTGATACAGACTCGGATCAGTCGCTCGACTACAAACCGACTTATTCCATTATTATTTGTGTATGTATGTATATAGTATGTAATAATGTGCTTAAAAATTATATGACGACGTTATCTTCTTGTAATTTTCACGTGGCAGATCTATTATTTCAGCAAAACTAAATAATTCAGTTTCAGCCACGCAACTAGATTTATAATAGTGAGATAAGCAGTGCAACTGCAGTTAGTTTTATTGTACTATTTAAGTCCTGGACAACGTGGAACGAAGACAGAAACGAAGTCCATTTACGGATTATCGACGTCCTCGGGTGAATTTTCAATCTACAAGAATAGTATTCATTTAAATAATTGATATAAGAATCAGCAGAATCATCGTCAGAATGAAAAAGCAAATTATTATTGAAGCATTCCTTTGGATTTAACAATTTTTTACAATTACATTCATCTTTAAATTTATTACAAAGTAGGGTCAATGCGCCCGTAAGCCGGCCGGGTCCAGATTTCGGCCTTTATCACGAGGTGATGCAGTAAATTTGATTTAATAACAATTTTAGTAAATATTATCGTACGAAATAAAGTTTAATGCATTTGTAAATAGTTGCACTATATCTGGTAGCATTAATTAATCAGGTAAACACAACAAGCGATTTATAATAAATAGTTTAGTTCGACGCCGGCATAGAAGCTGTCAAAATGGGTAATATCGAGCAAAAAAAATAATGGTGCGCGTTCCATTCAAAAGTAAGTTTCGTGCCGTATTTAATACAATTACTTAATATTGTGCTTATATTTCACTGTATAAATAACCTAATACAGTTATTTGACACTGATTATTATAATACTTTATTGATAAAGTTAATAAATTAATGCCAAAGTGATACAAAATCATAAAATTACTTAATATTGTGCTTATATTTCACTGTATAAATAACCTAATACAGTTATTTGACACTGATTATTATAATACTTTATTGATAAAGTTAATAAATTAAGTGGCCGAATAGTGACACATAAAATGGTCCCATTATTTGGTTGTCGGCCTTGCGGCCAAAAAGTAGCCTGAGTTTAGCCTAAATACTTTTTCTCTTTCGTTTATTTGGTTACGTACTATAATACATCTTTCTTAGTTATATTGAATCGTAGCGTGCGTAGACACTAACTTTCAGTTTTCGGCAACTAATTACTGCAATTTAAACAGTTAGTGACGAAACAAAAATACCCATTTCAGTCGTGGCCGAAAACCGGATTGACTCTAAAATACTTATTTAGTTTTCGGCCAACTTAAGATTGTATGAAAGAATACGGCGGCGGAAAATAGAATGCTGTCTTAGTTTACGTTTACGGCCATTTCATCAAATATTTTATTCAAATTGCGTTTTAGGAAGAAGATTCAACAACAATTTTTTTTCTTCAGATGGCTCCTCCAAAGAAATATAATAAGTAAATGGCTTCAGAAAATGGGGACTTTATTAAATAGATCTCCATGCAGTGGATTACTCAAATTGAAAAAATCAAAGCAAACCCTGGAAAGACTAATCGGTGATAATTGAAAGAAAGAATAAATATTTCTAAAGAAATAACTAACGCAGACCTAGATTCCACTAGAAAAGTTTAGAAACATTTTAAATCAACTTTGGCAGAAAAAAAAACATAAAACTTGCTATTATAGTGAATGAGACAAGGAAATTGAAACGAAAGTCTTCTCACATCAATATTGTTCCACACAGAAAGACTTGGAAATTGTCTAATACAGTGGTCGAAAACTAAAATTCTTGTGGGCCGAAATCTAAAATTTGTGGCCGAAAACTAGCGTTTTGCATATTTTCACATCAAAAATTATTATAAAAAATAGATTTCTTTTGTAGCATCAATGAGTTATAAAAGTGAAAACTACTTTATATAAGCTACAAATTAACATTAACAGCACTAGGTCAACATAATGGCTATTATTTTTTATTATACCTTAAAGTTGACAACTCCACTAAAAGGCCGAAAACCAGCGCATCGACCCTACCTTATTGTGATTATTTTGTTTAGTTTTTGAAATTAAATCTCCTCGTAACGAATTACACTTTAATGCTGTCTATTAGTGGCGATTTACATTTCAGTGTAATGATAATACTATTATTAAAATCGATAATAATTATCAACTGCAGACTCAATATCTTTCTAAAAAAAGCGGACCACTAAGATTTTTTTCTAAATTGCTTGTATCCGACTGTTTGAAAAATAAATTACTTTTTAACAGAATTTCAAAAAACTGAAAGGTTCTATATTCGACCCGTATGTTTTTTAATGTACCGTCACCGATTTCGCGGAAGCAGCAGAATCGATTTAATTGATATTTTCTATAAATAGTTTATTTTTCAGGGGATATATAAATATGACAAAAAATTTTTTTGGAAAAATAGGGGACTAGTTAAATAGTTATTTTAAACTTGTGTCCATTCAGAGGGTGAAAAAATAAAACTTATAATAAAGAAAGAGTATCGAATAAAAAAATGTCCTTTATTTTATTTAACAACGTTTTTATTAAGTCGCTTTTTTGTTTGTCTGTCTGTCGTTCCAGGTGGAATTTAGTAATTGATTTTAAACTAAGTAACATCCCGATGAGCCGGAAATTTTGAATATAGATCAAATACGGATGACAATGTAAGAAAATGATA